GCGGGGTGGGGCGCCATAGTGTATGGGCTCTGTACGCAATATAGACGTAGTTCTGTTAAGATAAGATAATAAGATGTACTTTGTTGATCCAAAATCGGGAAATTGTTTTATTTAAAAACAAAAAATTTTTTTTTTAAAATAAAATATATATTTCCCCCAATTTTCGGCGCCCCCCTGGCTTGATGCGCCCTTAGCATTCGCCTATACTGCCTATGCCAAGGGCCGGCCCTGTGTGTGTGTGTGTGTGTGTGTGTGTGTGTGTGTGTGTGTGTGTGTGTGTGTGTGTGTGTGTGTGTGTGTGTGTGTGTGTGTGTGTGTGTGTGTGTGTGTGTGTGTGTGTGTGTGTGTGTGTGTGTGTGTGTGTGTGTGTGTGTGTGTGTGTGTGTGTGTGTGTGTGTGTGTGTGTGTGTGTGTGTGTGTGTGTGTGTGTGTGTGTGTGTGTGTGTGTGTGTGAAAAGCAGCGCTGTCTGCTTATTTATATGTAGGCTAGGCCTAATCAGAATAATTTCAAGTCCAGATTCAATGGTGTAATTATTGGCATAAGTAGGCTATATTTTTCCCGTCTGCTTTTTGCAGTACAGTAACTAAAGTAGGACTAAGTATACACCGGTAGTTTCTGTGGACCTGTCTGCCCGTTTTGTGAGTGCACTGCGCGCACTTGTGTGGCGGCATTGTTTGGGATGACCTAATTAAAATAGCGTCCCCCCAGTAAAAAAATCCCCACTACACCACTGCTGACACGTCTCGAGAAGTTTCCGGGACGGACCCGAACACAGCAAAAAGAACGCAAGTTTTTTTTTCTCGAAATGCCGGGGATTTTTTTTTGGGAATCGTCCGTGGCTTCCACCGGCACGCGGACTGAGGCTTGGTGCGCGCCCCGCAGAAGAGCTGGGGACGTTGCTCGACATTCCCGCATCGGCTTTCCAACCAACAGGGAGACGATGCACAACCTGCTGGGTCGACCAGCAACCCGATTGCTACCTCGTGGGCTTGTTTTTTCGTGCGGCTGCACGTCCCGGCTGCGCTAGCTGACGGCGACTAGCGGCTAACCACGTGGGGCTAACGACGGCTAGCAGCTACCCATGGCTGCCAGCTAGCTGCTAACGGCTAGCTGTTAACGGCTGTCGACATATGTCGGTTAACATCTGACTGTTAACAATTTTTTTCCAGTGCCGGAGAGGAGGTTCGACCAGCCGGTTGACCTTGTGTGGACACTCTCACTTTTTCACCACCTCGATGGCGGTTCCAGACGCCACTCACGTTTTCATCGGCGCCTGGGTGGCGCACTCCTGGACCCCGTCTCGCCTTGACAGTTTCGGACGTCGCCCATGCTGCCATCGGCCCGTGGGTGGCGCGCTCCGGAACCTGTCTGGCCTCTCATCTGTCCACGGCTCCTTCCTCCCGGGGATACCTCAACGCCTACTGAGGACTTCGTGCCCGCCGCCGCTGCGCGTCTGCCTGCGGCCGGGTTGCGCTCCTTCCTCCCGGGGACACTGCTCCTTCCTCCCGGGGATACCTCAACGCCTGCTGAGGACTGTGTGCCTGCCGCCGCTGCGCATCTGCCTGCGGCCGGGTTGCGCTCCTTCCTCCCGGGGAGACTGCTCCTGCCTTCCGGGGATACCTCAACGCCTGCTGAGGACTGTGTGCCTGCCGCCGCTGCGCGTCTGCCTGCGGCCGGGTTGCGCTCCTTCCTCCCGGGGTGACTGCTCCTCCCTCCCTGGCATACCGCTCCGTCCTTCCGGATAATTCATGCCCGCCGCCGTGCCTTCACCTGCGGCCGGGCAGCGCTCTTTCCTACTGGGTTCGCCACGACACCTACTGCGGCCCCCTTACGACGGCCCGCCCCCGGTGGGGGTGCCCTCGCCCTCGTTAGGGCCCCTACCCTCTCCTGCGGCCCCCTTTCGTCGGCCCGTTCCATGGCCCGGCCCTTACCTGCGACCCCACCCTCCTCGGCCCCTGTGGTGCTTCCTCCTCGGACGCGAGGATTTTTTTGCCATGTTTGAATTCTGGGGGGGCTTGTGTGGTGACCACCTATTAATACACTGGGACATAATTCATGCATGGAACTACAGTTGGGGCTATTGTTCCCACACGGACATGTTATGTGTTTACTATATATGTTGTGTGCCCTCCTGGCTTCTCTCTCTTCTTCCCGGACTGCAACCGGACAACATGACCTTAGCTGCTCTCAAATAAAGTTCCCTTTTGCACCTTCATTGCACCGCCTCTGACTCCCTATCTCTCGGCACTACAGGCTATTACTTTTATCATTCATAACTTTCATAATTTCAGAGATACATCCCATAATTCATCCCATTTTTAACATGGAAGTCAATGGAGAACTCTTCAGACTTCAACAATCTTCATGCAACTGCTACTGCTCCTTCTTCAACTGCTAACTGCTCCTTCATACTTTCACTCAGAAACCTCTTTCCAACTTTAAAATGTCACACATCTTTCTGACATTATTCGTGTAACACAACTTTTAAATCTGATTCTGACTTTTAGAGATATTAAACATTGTTCAGACCTTGGTAAAGAGGCCTTCTTCAGATTTTAGAGTGTGTGTGATGTCACAGCTAGAGTGGAGGACAGATTTAATTGTGCCTTCATATTTTCTTTTAAACCTGCCATAATTCCCAAACCCTACATTCCTGAGACATAATCTTTCATGACAAACGTAGGAAAACATCTCGTAGCTTGAAATATAAAAAAATTAAGCAAAATAATTAAACAAAATGCCTCTTGAGGGCATGAAGTGATAAAAACGTTCAATATGTCTCCATTAAACTCAGTAAGTAAGTTCAGCCTCACCTTTTCCCACCACAGCAGCCGCACACCTTTAGTTCATCTGCCAAAAACGCCACATTATTAACCCGAAAGTACACAAAAAGTACACTTCAGATGCTCAACTTCCTTGACATGCTTCACGCTTTGAAATTTCACCGATATCTGTTACGGTTCTTCAACAAAACGTTCACATGTAACAGGTTTATCTCTCATTCAGAACAATGAAAATGCTCTCCTCTCACTGATCACCATGGGAACCTTTGATCTCTGGACACGTCGTTAGCTCAAATATAAACACCTGTGTCATGGAACACGATGATGTCATAACTCCAACTGACATAATTAGAGCAGCAGACTAATGACGTGGTCACTGGAGTTTAACAGACTGTCTCAGCCTATTATTTTCCGTCTGATGGAGACTTCATACTGACTTCAACATGTTCCACATATTTTAGACATTATTGCTGACGTATGCTTTTAGTTCTAAAGTTTTCAGTTCAAATATTCTGCTGCCTTTTCATGCATTTAGACTTTTATTTTCTTGTTCTTATTTCACATTCAAGTCCCCTCTATTCATGAACCCTTTCAAGTACTCAGCCACACCACTTATATGCCACGTGCGACTGTTGCTATGTGAGTTCATCTTTCAAATACAAGGTTGCTTGTTTGATTCAAGCTCTTGTATTCAATATGTCAAGGTATTTATCCCTAACATTTTATCAGCTGACACACACTCAGAGGATCTTTATAAACGTTTTAAGTATTTCACATCTTTAAACATGACTCTTATAAATCACTTTTAAAACTAGCGATGCACTACAGTGTCAGCTTTTCTGAAATAGAAACTTCAATGTCCACATCTTTCTAAATGATTCTACTTTTCAATGACCTACAAATAATCATAATAATCCCATTTTCAATCTTCCAACTGTTCATATTTTTTGGTCTATCAACAAACCTGTTACAAATGTATTGTTGTTCAACAAATTTGAGCCTTTGCCACATTTATTTGATCACCATGGAAACCTTTGATCTCTGGACACGTCGTTAGCTCAAATATAAACACCTGTGTCATGGAACACGATGATGTCATCACTCCAACTGACATGCTCAGAGCAGCAGACTTCAGATAATGGTTAATGGTCCTGCCCTCAACAGCTCTACGTCAATTATGGGGTGTCATCATATGCCGTTTCCATGGAAACACATCCCTCGTCATAAAACACGATGTCACTATACATTAACTCCTATGAAAATATTCAAAAAGTGCTCAAACTTCACATGTGTGCTAACAGTCCAGCTGTGAAGACATCTATAGGACAGTTTTGAGATTTCTTCAAATTCCGTTGCCATGGCAACACAATGCTCGCCATGAAACACGGTTTTCTCATAACTTCAGTGAAAATGCTCAAAATGGCCCAAAACTTCACAGGTTTGGTAACGATGCAGCCATCAACGCATCTAAGCATATTATGGGATGTCATCAAATGCCGTTGGCATGGCGACAGATCATTCACCATCAAGTTAGTTCAAAAGTTTGCAGTTCAAATATTCTGCTGCTTTTCCAAGCCTTTTTACTTTCTTTTCTTCTCTCATCATCACACATTCAAGCCCCCTGTGTTCATGTATCATTTCAATCTAAATTATTCACTTTCTTCTTACACATTACATTTCAGCATAGCAGTTTAGCGTCAGCTTTTCAGCATAATGCATTCCCACTAGCAATTTCTTCAGGAATTGCATTCTCTAGTTAGAAAATGTTATGTCTTTATTATGCTGTTTTACTTGCTGCATGTATGTTTGCATTGAATATATTGTGTTATACTTATAGGCTACTGCTAATGATAATAATAATAATATTTAACAACACACAACTATAAAATAATCATTAGACAATAATTTATTATTGTGATTATTTGTACTGATCAAATTGGTGGTGTTTTATTTCTGTCAAGTGAGAGGAAATAGGCTTGCATAAAAGGATAAACAAAAAAAACTAATACAAGAAAAACAAGTACACATTGAGAACAGAACCTGAGGATACATTTAGTGAGTGACTTCTACTTCTAATAATGTAACAGTGGAAATGAAGGGAAATGAAGGAGGAGCAGAAGAGGAGGTGGAGAGAATAAAAGCAAGGGGGTGGGGTCTTCATCACAGTGAAATAAGGAGGCAGGACTGATCAGCAGTGCACTCGTCAGTAACTCTGAACTCATGACATGGCAACAAAAATCATCTTCTTCACAGTGAACGGGAGACCGGAGAAGGCGGAGTTCCCCGGGGACTGCCCTGCGCAGGATGTCAAAGGTAGGAGCACAGAAGGATTTCAAAGTTCAGTTTCTGATGTTGAAGACATTGTGAGGTATGTCAGAGTGCATACACACACCCTCAGGTGCAATCTTAGTGAATCAAATGATATCTGCATCCATAACATCATTTTTATAATTATTAAATACATTTTCCAAATGTGTCACATGTTTACCATGATTCTTCCCTTATGTGAGAAGGTAAATATCATGTGATGTATGTTATTATCTATTACACATGAGTTGAATTAATGTATTCAATGGCAGAAAAGTGATCCAGAAAAACTAGAGAAGAAAACAACGTTGATAAAGGATCAGATGCAGATTAAAGTCAGTTCCCCAGCATATAGAGAAGTGTGTGTGTGATGGAGGATCAGCTGCCACTGACAGCTCCTCTCTCATCACCTCGGGTGGAGGCAGTGTGTAGCACTGGCTTCATGTGGTCTTAATGTGCTTTGTTTAACCCTCCTATTGTCTTCGTTCCCCCCCCCCTTACTTTGGTGTTTGCGGTCAAATGTGACGGGTCCTGTTTTAACTGCTATTACATTAACACAAAAACCATTCATCATCACCACATTTCATTTAACACCCTTTCAAACTGTAAGTATTTTATCAGACTACTGGTACACATGAACAACTGCAGTAAATATACAAAGAACAGACACTGAACATGTATTGGTGTGCCAGGTGTGATCCATGTGGGGGGATGGGCACATAAGAGCGGGGGAACACATCTAGAGTATGTGTGTGTGCAGGGCCGTCCCTGGCCAACATGAGGCCCCACGCAAAGTGATACAGTATGATGTTTCGCGAGCGTCGACGGGGAGGGGGGGTGCGAGTGGAGTGAGGCACCCTCCACAAGGTGAGGCCCCCTCCGCAAGGTGAGGCCCCACGCAGTCTGCATGATTGGCCTGTAGGGAGGGGCGGCCCTGTGTGTGTGTGTGTGTGTGTGTGTGTGTGTGTGTGTGTGTGTGTGTGTGTGTGTGTGTGTGTGTGTGTGTGTGTGTGTGTGTGTGTGTGTGTGTGTTTTATCTGATCCGATCCGGATGGTTACATATCCTTTTCTTTATGGTGGTCATGTTTCACCGGGAACACCATGGTGTTTCAAAGTTGACTAAATCATCCAAAATTCAATGAAAGTGTGATCAGCACTTGTATATGTTCAAATGTCTCCTGTGAAGGATATCATGAAGCCTTAAAGCAATCGAATGTAAAACAAAAAAGTTATGATTGATGAAAGTAGTAAATCGGTCAGATTTGACCCGAAGACAACAGGAGGGTTAAATGCAAGTTGTATCACATCATTTACTTTGTATTTCCTTACTGTTTTGTAAATCATTTGTTAACAATTTGTAAAGCACTAAGTTACAATCTATAACCCATTGATGATGGCTTCCATATTGAACAGAGTAACCTCAAAGCATTTTCAAAAGAGAAACAACTCCAGGATTCCTCAGCAGCATTCTCCAGGGTTTCAGATGGCCTTCCTCAGCGTTTGGGGAAGCATATCTCCTTAGGATTTATTGATAAATGAGCGTTGAACCTCTCTTTCAGATCTGTTCCGCTCTGCAGCCGAGGCCGGACCCCATGACATCCTGAAGCTGTACAACCCCAAAGGCAACATCACCAACATCTCCCCGGGACTGGAGCCCAACTCCTCCAGCTGCTGCTACAAACTGGAGGTGGTGGCTGCCGACTGCAACAGTGAGCCGTTAGGTATCTTTCCCTTTGCACCATGGGAAATGCAGTGCTCGGGTTCATTTCAAAAAGTTTGACACGTCTCCCTCTTGTCTTGCCATTTCAGGTGCGGAGCTTGCAGGTGCACTGGGATTTGACCTCTCCTCCATGGAGAAAAGGTAGGCCAGGGGAGTAAGATCAACATTAAAGACATTTCATTCATATTTACTGTGAAAGGTCAAAAGGTCAGTTCTTGTGAAGCATCAGATATCTGGTTATATACTTTGAAGGTTGAATGTATATCAACTGTGAAAATGTACATACTATAATGTGTTAACCATTAGCGTCACTTTGTTCGATTTTTTTTTCAGATTTCAAAAACCAGTACTGCATTAAGCGCACCCCGCAAAATACAACTAGTGCAGTAACTATGCTATGCTGCTGCGAAGCTGTTACAAATTGCATCACTTCGGTCGCCAGAAAACAGTCCTTGAGATTGTTCTCTTGTGCAAATACACCTCAAAGTGTATAATTCTTTCTGTACGCTATTTTCAGAACAAAAATGATCCTAATGCAAAATAGTGGACAAAATGGGCCATTCCCCCAGTATGAAGGACGACTATGATCCTAATGCTTCTCTGATGGTGTGTGATCTCAGACTGCAGGGCCTCGAGAAGAGAATCCTGACGGAGGCCGGTGACGCTCCTGCAGTGGTGTACGAGATGAAGAAACAGGTGGATTCATTCCGGGAGAAACTGGAGGTACGGACAAAGTACTCTGTTACTTTAGAGTTACTAAAAAACATGGAACTTATTCATATGGTTATACGTATGGGTTATACATTCTTCGTTTTCATAGAGAGATCTTTGGGCCTCATCAGAAAAAGACACATTAGCAACCGAGGCAAACAGTCAGAAGAAGAAATAAGTGGGATGGAATGACCTCAAAAGAAGGCAAATAGTTTCATCAGCTTAGTATTTTGGAGCTGCTCTTATCAATGTTTTTGATATGAATGATTCAATGAAGATATTTGAAATGGGACACTGTCGCTAAACTATCTGACACTTGAGAATAGAGGCCCAGACACTTCACAGAAAGTATTAACAATATATATTACCAGCAAATGTGCAGTTGGAAACAGTTTGTGTATTATACAGAAACAGATCAAGCTAACCAAATACCAAAACAACTAAACTAATCCAACCCTAACTATTAAATGGTTTCAAGCCATAAATGACGTCTAAACATTGATTTAAATAGATATAAGAAACTGAGATAAAAGGAAAAATAAAGGCACAAACAACTGGAAAAAAGCAATGTAGTGTTAGTGTATGCTTTGACAAACTTAAGCTCTTTTGAACACAGATAAAGACATTCGTATGGAATGATCAAACTCATTCCATACCCATGGTGCTCTGCAAACAACACACACGCTGACTCATCAGTTCCCTCAGCTGCTTACCCTTTGACTTTATTGTTGGGGTTTTCTTGGCCACACACTCTGTTAATCAACCTTGTTTAGCTTACAGTCATTCCCATAACTGGTGTTGCTAGTGTTCCTCGTTGACTTTGTGATCCCCTGACATCTCCCCTCGTTCCATCCTGGGGTTGATATGTCTAGCAGGGATGGCTCTACTTGATGTCAAACCTTGATTACATACCGATTCAATGTTTCACCCTTTTTTAAACAAGTGAAGCTGTTATTAATACATTTGCATTACGTTATGGTTCCAATTGCTTAACCTACCATCCTAAAAAAAAATGTATGCTCAAACTGAAGAAAGACAAAACAAGAAATATAATTTTGAAGTACGTATACTTTACTTGAGTATTTCCATTTGATGCTACTTTGTACTTCTAATCCACTACAGTTCAGAGGTAAATGGTGTACTTTTGCTCCACTACATGTATTTAATACCTTTAGTTACTTCACAGATGTGGATGAATGATGTGAAATATAATCAAGTGTTGAATCAGACTTTAGTTCCACCTGGAGTAAATCCACCAGCTACCCTGCAGTATACAAAGCCATTCAAACTAGCTGCACCTTTACCAGCTTTGAGAACACTTTCATGATCAATCATTATAAAACATATCATATATATTATTCTGAGATGGACCAATCTGCACAATGACTACTTTTACTGTCGCTACTTTCACTATATTTAGATGAGAATACTTTTCTACTTTTACTTGAGGAACCTTCTTCCACCTCTGACCAACAGAAATGTGTACAAACGTTGAAAGTAATTACTGTAGCAAGGAATCATAACCCAAGTGTAAAATGTTGGATATTATCTTGTGTGTAATTTCATGACCGTTGTTTACAGTTTAGATCTTAACGGATGACACGCTTTTCTCCAATGTCCATTCCAATATTACGTCCACTAGCTGAATCACTATTTTAAGATAAATGTCTTTACATGGATTACCAAGAAATTGCGTAACAGCCTCGCAGAATCACAACATCTTTTTCTGTAGGAACATTTTCCTCAGAAATATAAACCAGGGCAACAGAGCAATTAGAAGTCAGTAATGATAATGACTTTAGTGATGAAGGGTCTATTTGTTGAAGGGCCACTCTTGGGATTTGATTTGATGTGATGTGCTGCTCTAACCTCCATATTGAACCTGATTTCAACTGATCTCTTCAGAGTGTGGAGCACCTGAGCTGGCTGGGCTTGTTTAAAGATCTGTCCGAGGGAACACACAAGCCCTCCCCCTTCTACCACAAGAGAACCCTGCATAAGACCAGGAAGGAGTGTGAGCATGTACGGGAGAAGTTCCTCCAAATGAGGCACGTTTTTGCAAAGCTCACATATTGCAGACATATAATGTTTTATGATCTGCTAATCAATATGTTGTCCCCTTTGCAGCTCCCTGGAGGTATCAGAGGAAGTGAGGCAGTACCTAAAGACCCCCACCTTTGATAACTGGTGAGCAGGGTTGGGAGGGTTACTTAAAAATGTAATCGTTTACAATTACTAGTTACCTGTAAAAAAATGTAATCAGTAACCTAATCTGAGTATCAAAATGTAAAAGTAATGTAATCTGATTATTTAGAGTTGCTTTTGGATTACCTCAATATCAAATGCAATGCAAATAAATGCAGGATAAATGAAACATCAGTAAGAGGTGTATACTGTATTGAAGACACAACACAATGTGACCTTAGAAAAGAGGAGACCAAGGTATTTAGGATCAAAGATGTGTCCTCTTATATGATAGGCCTACAGAATAGCATACATATAGCTGATTTAGTTTAATACCTTCATTAAACACAGCATTTTCTTTTTTATAAATCAGGTGTTCACCAACTGCATTTGAACAAATATATTTAAAATAAGGAAGTATCCTCAATGAAAACCAAAATGAATAATCAAGCATACGTCTACCTATAATATCATTTATATATACATTTTTATTTCAAAATGTATTGTAAAATTGTAATCCTGCTTGTAATCCCCATTTCTTTCTAATGCAACAGCAATCTGACTACGTTTTTTTGTATGTAACTGTAAGGGAATACAGTTATATGTGTTGTATCCTGATTATGTAATCCATTACTCCCTTAAGCCTGCTGGTGATTGGCCAGATAGGTGTGGAGAGGTTTTAATGTCACATACAGTATTCATCAACATGATGTGCAGGCTGTGTGATCACCAACAAACAGTGCACCTGTTCCCTCAGTGTGTGCACACACACACACACACACACACACACACACACACACACACACACACACACACACACACACACACACACACACACACACACACACACACACACACACACACACACACACACACACACACACACACACACACACGTCGTGCCCTTCAAGCACCTCCGCTGTGATCTGAAGAGGACACGAGACGTCAGCCTTTCTTCTGATCATCACACTCATCTCAATATGAATAGGCCCGCAGCGCCGTACAAATCAAAAGGTCTTAAAAGGCTTCATCAACAAACCGGGTTTGAAGTGGCTTCATGGGGAGGAAGTGCCTATTGCATTCACTGAGGCCTGCACATCGTTCCATTTTTCCAAAAGCTTTGAACCCAAACCCACAATGGTGGCAGTGGAGGTTTTGAGGCTATGCACAGAAACCAGGGTGACAGATAATCATCATAAATCCATTGTACCCTAATCAAATACAGTATGCTTCTCTTTGCTTCCTGCTGTGTGGACAAAGATGTGTTATGAAGAATAATGCTGATCGCATTACATTATTGTCTTTTTGAACACTTCATGACTTCCCTACTCTGACTGTGGCCAAGAGGTTTCTTTCAAAGGGTCAGCAATACCCTCACCAGCTCGGCACTGTTGTTTTCAGACAATGTGACTCAAACATTACATTACATTACATTTAGCTGACGCTTTTATCCAAAGCGACTTACAATAAGTGCGTTCGACCAACAAAATACAAACTTGAAGAAAACAGAATCATATAAGTACATCAGGTTTCATAGAGCCAAACATTTCAAGTGCTACTCAACTGGCTTTAGGTAAGCCAGCCCTTTATTATTATACAAGTGCTTTGTTAATAGTTCTATCGCTCGAAGTGGAGTCGAAAGAGATGAGTTTTCAGTCTGCGCCGGAAGGTGTGTAAGCTATCTGCCGTCCTGATGTCAATGGGGAGCTCATTCCACCATCTTGGAGCCAGGATAGCAAACCCACGTGTTTTTGCTGATGGGAACTTGGGTCCCCCTCGCAGTGAGGGTGCAGCGAGCTGTTTGGCTGATGCAGAGCGGAGTGCACGTGCTGGGGTGTACGGTTTAACCATGTCCTGGATGTAGGAAGGGCCAGATCCATTCGCAGCATGGTATGCAAGTACCATTGTCTTGAAGTGGATTCTAGCAGTTACCGGAAGCCAGTGAAGGGAGCGGAGGAGCGGAGTGGTGTGGGAACATTTAGCAGAAGTTAACAGTGCACATTTTAGGGACTGTTTACAGCTATACACATTTAGAGTATTTCCTGCAGTGAAACAGTATATGTAGGTAATTAGGCTTGATAGATCAGAATACCTGTTCGTATAATAACATAGAATATATTATATATACAATTATCGTGGCCAATATAACTTGCAATGAGGATAGTATAAAAAATTAATTCAGTCCAAGTAATCTCAAGCTGTGTGTGTGTGTGTGTGTGTGTGTGTGTGTGTGTGTGTGTGTGTGTGTGTGTGTGTGTGTGTGTGTGTGTGTGTGTGTGTGTGTGTGTGTGTGTGTGTGTGTGTGTGTGTGTGTGTGTGTAGGCAGTGGGAGGATGCAGAGATCATGGTGCTCCTTCAGGTCATGTACACAGATTTAGATTTCATCGCAGCCTTCAACATCGAGCCGGCGGTCCTGCAGCACTTCCTGTTCGAGGTGTACCGGAGATACAACAACATCCCCTTCCACAACTTCAAGCACTGCTTCTGTGTCACCCAGATGGTGAGTGTGTGTGTCTGTTGCAGTGATACTTCATAAGGACAGACCAGGGAGAGCCCGATTGTATGTCTAATCATGAAATTGTGAAATGATGCCATCATCCTTGGTGAAGGACATGTTCAGGGTGGAGAGGGGACTCACATCAGAGGACAGCTATTTCACCCTGATGGTTTGATGGCGTCTTCATCAAAAAATAGCTTTGATGAGCACCAGATACTTTTCTCAGGAGTTTGAGAATCCCAAAGCAGTGGCAAAAAGAAGATTGGAAAAGACACCATAATTGTGTTCTTCTGTTCTTCGACTGTATGTAAAAAGGGGTCACTTGTCCATAAGCTATACGGAGCATCTTAATCAAACTAAATGAATTGACATATGGACAGCATTCAGCCAGGCTCTTACTTTCACATGACAGACAGCAGTGCTGGTGTCAAGGCATCACAAAGACCTTGATAGACACTCTGAGATGCAGATTTCTACATGGCTGTTGGTGGCGTCCTCAATCAGAAATGTCAGCGCTGTTCCTGAACTTTTGGAAAGAATAGACCAGGGACTTTAGTTAAGACCCTTGTCCCTGAAATAGAAACACAAAAGTATCCTTAAAAGGTTCCTAGTTCTTCAGGTTGAAAAGCGAAAGAGGCTAATGTGTTTATTTCACTGCTCCCAAACTATTGAAGTAATTCAGCTTTTCATGAGGGCAAATGACAGCCTTTCCCCCACAGTACATGACGACATCTCTTGCCCTCTGAGCAGATGTACGGTCTGATCTGGCTGACGGACCTGAAGAGTAAGATGGACAGCGAGGACCTGCTCATCATGCTGACCTCTGCAGTGTGCCACGACCTCGACCACGCCGGGTACAACAACGCCTATCAGGTACCTCCATGAAGTCTTTGTGCTTCGGCAGGCATGTTCCCTGACACACAGTGAGATTGCTACTTGATATTCAGACTGCTGAAGCCTCATATTAGGTTCAGCGAAACGTTAGACCTTTTTTAACTCAGAACTTAGACCGTGGATTTTGTACTGTCTTCTACTTTTGATGACTTATATAAGGCGTATTTTAACAGCTGTAATGGGGGGAAAACAGTGCCCAATAACTTACTTTGTATATTTGTGAGTTTTGTATGAATCAAGACTTGAAAAATGTCAACCTCTTTAAATGTCATTAACAAATTCTTGTTTTTATCTTTTAATGTATCTTTTAATAGCTGAAGTTAATAATAATAATAATAATAAACCTTATATTTATTATAGCGCTTTATCAATGACTCTCAAAGCGCTTGCTGTTGGACAGTTATACCTGTTGACATCACATACACAGTGTCTGTTGTATTTGACATTTTTGCTGTCAAATCATATTTTCCAACATGTTCCAAGTAATGGCCTTGTTTCAGATAAATGCTCGGACCGAACTCGCTCTCCGGTACAACGACATCTCTCCACTGGAGAACCACCACTGTGCCATAGCTTTTGAGATCCTGGAGAAGGTAAGCATGACACCTCTCTGTCCAAGGCAAGCTGCATGGAATCGTGCATTTAGGGTTAGTGATTGGAACTGACACCCTCAGATGAGTCTGTCCACTATCAGCGACAATCAACTGAACCTCATATTTTTCAGACAGAGAGCAACATCTTCAGAAATCTGTCCATGAATCAGTACAAGCGGATCAGAGAAGGGATCATCAAGTGAGTCCATCTTTCTGATTCTCTAAGTAATCCACATTTTGCTCCTGTAATTCCCTCAGGATAGCAACAGTATTTATCTTTTCATTTCAGATGCATCCTGGCCACTGACATGACGAGGCACAATGACATTCTCAACAAGTTTAAGTCCATCCTGACAGCTTTTGACTTCACCAACAAGGAGCACAGAGAAGTGGTGAGAGGACTTTTGAGCCTGTGTCATATGTTCAGTATTCAACAGTGGCTGAAGTCTCAATATAAAAACTCTGTTTCTTTTACAATTGAATGTATAGCTTCTAATTGTGTCCTGTTGTGTTTGCAGCTGATGATGATCCTGATCAAAGTGAGCGATATCTCCAACGAGGCGCGGCCCATGGAGGTGGCTGAGCCCTGGTTGGACTGTCTGCTGCAGGAATTCTACAACCAGGTACCTTCACCACTGGATATGTGTTTCAACTATGGACGCTTTATTTAAACTTTGTTCTGAACATGTTATCCTCCTTCAACCTTCGATTCAACGTGTGGGATGTTCCTATTCAATACCTTGAAGGTTACAACCTGATTCAGCAGCAACACAGTGTATTGAAAGAGTCGATGATTAGAAATGAGTAGAGTTCATGTCGTTCTCCAGGTCTGTTTCTCTCTCCCTAACTAACAAAGAAGGGTTGAATCCCACTCAGTTGTTCCTTTGACTCCTTTCCAGTAAAGATGACAAAACCGGAATTGATCCAGCTTGTATTGCGACTATCTTAGTTGACCATAACATTTAAAAAGAAAGAATTTAGCAGATGGTCTGGTTAAAAGAAAAAGCACACTTTCAATAGATTTCAGTGTTTGAACCACAACAAAATCTGGCCCGCAACAACATAGGTACGGCTTATTTTGAGCCTTTCGCTACTGAAGAAAATGTTAAACACATTTGGCTCCTATTGGCCAGTTAGTCAATAAATAGGTTTTTCAAACATGTTGAATCACCACAACGTCCTTGAGCATAGTCATAAATCTAAAAATATGATGCTGATTGGATGAGAGCAATGATCTTCCACAGGCTCAGACCTGTTGGAGAAATCATAGGTTACAGTCCCTCAACCTGTAGAGACATTCACTCCAGCTGTGTGTTCTCTCCACCTTCAGAGTGATGTGGAGAAGTTAGAGGGGCTTCCAGTCACCCCCTTCATGGATCGGGACAAAGTCACCAAGCCGTCGTCTCAAACAGGCTTCATCAGATTTGTCCTTCTGCCTCTCTTCATCGAGCTGGCCAACCTCTTCCCCTGCTTGGAGGTCATTTCTTTTTGAAAGATTCCTAGAAATCAAGAAGTTACTCTGGGAAATGTCATTCAATAAAGTAGAATTCGTCAAGTTTGAGGCAATGTTTTGGGGTTCGAATATATGACTTGTTAATTCATTCTGCAGCAACACATAATCCACCCGGTACGGAAGGCTCTGGATTACTACACAGAGATGGAGAAGGCGCTGGAGAGGGAGAAAGTGATCCGGGCTCAGACACAGTGTGCTGCTGACAGCCTCACAGACTGAGGGACCCATCTGTGGGGCCGAGGCAGCTTTAAGAAGAGGACTATCTGAAACCTGCTGTCTAAAGATTGTATGGTTTTTAGATTTGTTTGAATGTATTTGAACTACAACTGAATCTAAATGTGTATTTTTGTATTATTATCATTATTATTTATTAATGTTTTGGTTTATTTACCGGGCTAAGCACAAGTACTATATTGCGTTCAAGAAAGAAAAGGGTAAGATTACCTTTTATTGTAGTTTTGGTGTATGCAGTAATCTGTTATGTGATGTAAACAGTAATAACTTTGAAAGAGTATGTTTAAAATACAAAACAACAGCCTGAACTATATTCCATAAGAGTACAACATTTTTGATATCAAATAAGAAAAGAAAATCTCTCATGTTGCCGCAAGAAGTCAACCACTTCATTTAAATAAGACTTTATGAAGCTTAAACTTGAAAAAAAGATTGCCCTCACGTTTCTCTCAAGGCTTCCATAGTAATGATGGACGCATGATTCATTACACTGAGTGTTGGAATGATGAAACAGGACATTTAAAGACATCACTTTAGGATGTGTAACAATGTCTGATGGCAGATGAATCGATTGGAATCGTTAGTCGCCATGTCTCCTCTGTGAGGAGACATGGCATGCTCTCATTATTAGGAAGTAAAGACATTCTATGTTTAATGTAATATCGCCACCCTGTGGCTTCAGTGCGTTATAACTACTGGGTTTATCTGCACCACAGTTTGCTTTTACATTTTAATAAATAATCTTCTGACGAAGGTTACACCACAGTACACAGTCTGTTGTAAATATATAACTATATATATATATATATATATATATGTAATATGAGCTATAGAACCTAGCTAAAATCTACTAGCTATACAAAAAATGCTACGAATGTGCCCTCCTGCTCTTCAGGGTGACCTTCAGGTGAAAAACATGTGGTCCTTCTAGGGGGCCTTCCATTTATGGAGTGCCTTGGTGGAGTGGTTACAGTGCAACCATTTAATACATTCCTTATTGCTACTGAATCAATGTGGGACCTATCAGTGAATGGACAGCAGTAGATTCATTTAGTTTGAACATTTATTGATACATGCCATATGATAAGGTGCATGAACACCTGAAATCACAGCTGACTGCAGGAGAGAGGAGAACCATTTTATAGTTTGTCTGCAGCATGGTGATTGTCTGCTGGAGAATGAGGTGAAATGTAATAGGTTAAAGAGAACGCCTGTGATGAGATGATTATATGCAGCTGCGGAGTGAATGTATATACACCCAGTCTTCCTGAAAGAACTTGCGCTGAGCTTCATTTCAATCTTGAAAAAAAAGATAAATAACACAAATTTAAATTGCCCCCCAAATAATAAATAAACACATTAGCCATATTACCATGGGACATGGGGACAAAGCTAATACATGCTGCCATCACAACGAAGTTAGAGGCCTTTGCAGATTTAAAACCAGTGCCTAATATCTCAAATCTGTAAAGTTTTTGTGAAACTACAGAAACAAACTCTCAATGGCCGCCAGTCTGCAGATCACACACATCAATTTCACAAAAGATGTAACAAAGATGTTTACACTGCCGACAGTCATTATCTCAAACAGTGTGAACACATTTAACGCAGAATGCTTGCTCATTCATTTGTTTCCCTGGACCACGATGGCTGCCATCGTATGGTCAGATCCTGGGGTGGACCGGTCACTGATGAAGGTGATATTCATGTCCTTTTGAAGCACATTAAATAATAGGTTAGCGCATAAGAGATAATGAATTAGGTAATTGCATTCTTTTTAAACTGTCACTAGTCTTAGCGAATTCAGAGCCATTATTACCAGCTGCTAAAGCAACGCTGGTATTGTTTTCACCTATTGAGTCTGCATGTGTGTGTCGTCATGGCAATGTGGTCCTGAAGACACACAGAGGTGCTTTTGAGTACTTTGCCTAGTGTTTAAATGCATGTGGACAGATTTTGTCAATCACAACCGTGCAAGTTTTAGTGTCCCTCATCTGTTTAGCAGGTTCTATACAACTTTACGTGTTTCTGTACTTCCGCCGTTCAAATGACAGTGTTATTTCCCCCAAAAGTGGGCGGGGCCGTAATTTTCGCCCTGAAGTGATGTAGATGTTAGGCTACTCTCCAGTGGCGTCTGGTGGAAAATATTTTTGGTAGGGCTGTTGATATAGTGAGTAAAACTATATTTTTGGGAGAAATGACCCCTTAAATTAGGACTTCTGGTGATGTAATGGCGCGTTTCCAGTGCAGCGCGGAGCTCGCTTTAAGCGTGCCGAGCCGTGCGGGGCCCGTTTTTGGTTGAGTTTCTACTTGGCCTAGTACCGGCTAGCGGGTCCCAATTCACAGTTTTTCTGGCCCCATAAAATCGTGGTTCTAGGGCCAGGAACAACCAGGCTGAGTCGGGCTGAGTATGCTAAACTAGAGAGAGAATCGCTGGCAAGGGGGCTACAACTACAACAAGATGAACATATTTGACCGTGATTGAATTGTAATACACGTTTCAAAATGATGCCGAAGTAACAACATGCTGATACCGGTTAGTCAAAACCATGAATTAACGGTTTGACAAGTCTGCAGACAGACGGCAGGCGAAAAACCCTTTTAAAATGCGTGTTTTCTAAATGGAGCTTGGCTAAGCTAACGTTATATATGTTCCGACCGTCCACACTCACAACAACGACCTATACAGACATAAATAAACCAGCGACTGTATTCTCCATGACACAGACAGTCTGTGGTTTGTACTTGTTTAACTTTTGTCTAGTTTCTGAACAGATCGTATCTGTCCCCGGCTGTTTGAAGAGCAAGCATGGGAAACAAAAGACAGCATTTACCTGTTTGCATCCAGCTAGCCATGCCTTTCTGGTGTACCAGCTACGTGAGAAGCCTCGTTGATACGTTTTGTCTTTTTCACGAGCTTGCTGCGATATATACAAATCGAGTTGGTCCGGTCCAAGGTCTTTAAGCAACAGTTTATCTCCCAAACTTCTCCTTTCGAAAGGATTGGAGATTAGCTCTTGAAGGGAATTGGGCAGGGACTCCACCTGCACATGAAGCCATCCTCATCAACTACTGCCGTACTGCGTCACCCCACCGGATACGAGTCACTAGTGTCCAAACTACTCACAGACTGGACCGGTCGCTGACATTGGCGCCCGGTGATCATCAGATTTGACGACGCTGATTGGCTGAAATTATGTTTCGGCATCATAGTTTAGATAGCAATAGTCAGCTGCTAGTGGCTGCTGGTGCACTGGTTGAGGGCTCCTTTCTTACAGAGAGGGTAATGACCATAGACTGTATATAAAGGTAATGACACATGGGAAAGGCCAGGCAGGAAACATGTGACTTATCAGTAACTACATCGTCGTAACACAATTTTAAACGAGATTTTATTGTAGATTATACATTTTACTGATACCAATTATATAATATTTACCTTGTTTATTAAAAATAAAAATAAAATAAAAAAAATTATTTTTTAAATATATATTTTATTTTATTATTTTTTTGTATGTGGGAAGAGGTGGGGCGGCGAACCAAAGTACCAGGGAAAGTCCTGCGGTGTGAATAGCCGCATTCACACCGCAGGACTTTCCCTGGTACTTTGGTTCTTTAGTTCCGTTAGTACCAATAATGTCGCGTTCACACCGCCGGGACTACTCAGTGCCGGGAACTCTTTTGGCCATTTTCAGTCCCTGCTAGAGAGGTGGTACGAACCTGGTGATAAAAGAGTGCCAATAGGCTACATGCACAGTCACTTCCGCATTCTACTCATAGCGGCCGATTCATTTCCTGTTTGAAAATGACGACCTTCTACACCCGCTGCCTACAAGAGCTTCCGAAATTAAAAATGTCAGATGTTCATCGGATTTGCCGGACGACTAAAGCCCCAGCCAGCAAACTCGATAAAGGCTTCAAATTATATGCTGCGTCATATATACACAACTATGAAGGTAAGAAGGTAACCGGTACTAACCAGCTAGCTTATGCTCCGGGTTACGCTAACATTAGCTGTCAAAAGCTAGGTAACGCCAGAGCCCTATAGTATAACTACTATTATTATTATTATTATACTACTACTATAGTAGACTACTATAGGGCTCTGGGTAACGCTATGTACTGTTTCTGGTGTTAATTCTTTAAAACATTAGCCATTTTGCTAACAAATACTATCGTTTAATAGCCTTATAGCCTAGCCAAGGTTATCTTGTTGTTAGCCACACTGCATAATGGTATCAGCTTTTGTAAAGCAATGTTGCCATAGATGTGTTGACGTGAGTATAGATCTAACGCTGTTGCTCTGTTTTTCTTCATTCAGTGTCCAATAAAGACAGGCTGACAGGGCAGGTCAGCGTGAGAGCCTTGTGCTACAGGTCAATGCGGAAGAGCGAGACAGCACACAGTTTGAGTGTAGGCAGGCAGCATTGACACTGTTCCCCCCTGTTTATTGAGTTTCAGTTCAGTTAAACATTAGTTTACCTTAAGGGAATCTCAACAGTGTCCTACTTCTCCCTGCTTTATCACAGCTGATTGGTCAGATATTATTACATTGATTATGGATGTGTAAGTTTGGGGGTTCAAATATATAGTAAAAACTGCTTTAATACAATTTTCAAGGCATCTTAGTTTCCAAAGAAAGTTCATTGTGGTATTGTAGGGTAAGAGGGTAACACTAAGCATTCAGGAATACATGCTTCTTCTAGGATAATGGGTCAGTAAAAATAACCAATAATTCTACTCATAATAACCTCCTGGCTCATAGTAACAAGTGAGGTTACTAATCACTAGTATTTCTTCTCTCTTTTTTAGATAACGCTTCGTGATTCATCACCAGTGGTGCTCACGCACAACCAGTGCTCCTGTGCTGCAGGAACTGTTTGTGCAATCACACAGTAGCATTGCTGTTCCAAACAGCACACTACACTGAACTGAACATGCCAGTTGTGCCACCTGTGCATAGCTGTACTGAATCGGAACAGCAATGGCACAAGCCGCGAACAATGGTAATTTCAATGAGGTTCAAATACTTGTAATCTTTCACAGAGTTTTTGTTTTAAAGTAACTCAACGAACAGTAATTGTCTTTTCCTTAAGGGTATGAAGCCAGGGCCCATCAACTCCATGGTCTTCACCAAGCCTGTACCAAATAGGATGGTGCAGACTGGAGTAAGGTAATTTTAGCTGGAAAATTGTGTTTCCTGTGTTTTTAAAATTCATAATTCTGGTGCTGTATTCCTAACCTTTATTGTCACATTAATGTGCTATATTGTCTTTGCCATTCTTTGTAGGAGTGGATTCT